TTTTCCATTTTTTTCATGAGTCGGGGTCTCACTTTCGCTCAGGCGAGTCTCGAACTCCTGAGCTCCAGCGATTCTCCCTCCTCAGCCTCCCACAGTGCTGGGATTACAGGCGTGAGCCACCGCGCCCGGCCTTAACTATTCTTTAAACAAAAATTAATAATATGTAGGATAGTACATAAAACAAAATACACAGGCTCAGCACCTGTGGCTCAGTGGCTAGGGCAGCAGCCACATGCACTGGAGCTGGGAGGTTCAAACCCAGGCCGGGCCTGCCAAACAACAAGGACAACTACAACAAAAAAATAGCCAGGCATTGTGGCAGGTGCCTGTAGTTCCAGCTACTTTGGAGGCTGAGGCAAGAGGATTGCTTAAGCCTGAGAGTTTGAGGTTGGTATGAGCTGTGATGCCATAGCACTCTACCAAGGGGGACAGCTTGAGACTCTTGCCCCCCCCCCCAAAAAAAATACACAGTTAAACAAACCATGGTAAATGAACCCTCATGAAATTGTCTTCCATGGTGAAAAGTGTTCCTGATGCCACAAGCCCTTTGCCCCATATTCTCTTTGCCAACAACCTCCCCATCTTCCCACCCTCATCACTGTCATGCTCTCATGTTCTGGCTGTATGTGATAGTTTACAACATATGCATGTATCTGGGTCAGCTTAGTTCAGGTTTGCCTGCTTTGAACTTCACACAAATGTAATCATACAGCCTGATGTTCTCTGCATATGGCTTCTTCCTCTCAGCTCTGAATTTCTGAGATCTATCCTTTTTTGGTATGGCTACATTGTTTATTGTCATTGCTGTGTCATTTTTGGTCTGGCTACATTGTTTATTTTCATTGCTGTGTAGTGTTCCACTGTGACTCTGTCCTCCTCAATCTATTCCCTTCTTGATGGTCATTCAGGTTCTTCCCCATCAGTGCTTTCTTGACACTATTGCCATGTAATTTTTGCAGATTATATAGCCTTGCTTTTCACATCTGTAAAATGGAGATAACGCTTGTGTTTGTGTGGTGGTTTAGATTGTTATTAGTGATTTCCTCTGATTGATGAGTGCCCACCACGTGCTAGCTGCTATGCATAGTGAGTTATGTATTAACTCACTTAATTGCTGTCATGCCCCCATGAGGTAGATGTGGTTATAATCATCTCCATTAGCAAAGAAGGAAACAGTCCATGATTACTCAGCAGGGAATTTTACTTATTTATTTGTTTTAAGACAGAGTCTTACTCTGTTGCCCTGGGTAGAGTGCCCTGGCATCCTCATAGCTCACAGCAACCTCAAATTCTTGGGCTCAAATGATCCTCCTCCCTCAGCCCCCTGAGTAGCTGGGATTACAGGCACCTGCCACCATGCCCAGCTAGTTTTTCTACCTTTAGAAGAGATGGGGTTTTGCTCTTCCTCAGGCTGATCTCGAACTCCTGAGCTCAAGCAATTCTCCTGCTTTGGCCTCCCAGAGTGCTGGGATTACAGATGAAAGCCATGGTGCCCACCTTCAGCAGGGAAGTTTAAACCTAGGCAGCCTGGCTCCAGAGCCTTAACCATTACTCCAGACTGTAACTTCCATACTAATTTGTTTGTGAATCACTTACCAATGTTTACCGTATGGGTAGTGGTGGGGATTAACTGTCCCTGTTCACAGACCACAAAAGTAGGCTTGAGGAGGTTCTACTTATGTAGCCAGAAAGTGTTGTGGTTGGGGTTGGAGCCCAGGCATCCTTCCTGGCACCTGCTAAGGGTTGGGGACTTGGTGCTAGCAGTGTTGCCATCTGTGTCTCTTGTTCCCTTCTCAGATACCAGTTCAACCCAGCCTTCTTCCAGACCACGGTCACTGCCCAGATCCTGCTGAAGGCCCTCACCAACCTACCCCACACCGACTTTACCCTGTGCAAGTGCATGATCGACCAGGCGCATGTACACTTCCAGCTGTGGGGTGCAGGGGGCACATGAGGGGGTGGGGGTCAAGGTAGACACACTCACAGGGAGATGGTCTGTACACTCATCCCAGGACTCCAAATGCCTACTATTCTGGGAATGGTCCACTGCTGGGCAGCACTGGGACACTGTGGTGACTAAGAAAGGCCTGGGCCCTACCCTCATGAAGCTCCTAACTGTCCATTGAGACAGGCAAATGCTCCATCAGTGACCTAGTTGGTCACTAGTCAGGTTGATCAGGTCTGGGGTCCCAGGGGTCAGAGGAGGCACCTGACCTGGCTGGGAGATTAGGGGAAGCTTTCTAGAGGGGAGGACATCTGAAACAGGAGTTAGGGGAAGGGATAGTAAAGAGTGATCCAGAGTGGAACGTGGTCAGACCCACGTAGCTCTGGGGAACTGTAAAGAACAATGCAGGGGCTCGGCGCCAGCCACATACACCTAAGGTGGCAGGTTTGAATCCAGCCCAGGCCCGCCAAACAACAATGATGGCTGCAACCAAAAAAATAGTTGGGCATTGTGGCGGATGCCTGTGGTCCCAGCTACTTGGGAGGCGGAGGCAGGAGACTCGCTTGAGCCTAGGAGTTGGGGATTGCTGTGAGCTGTGATGCCATAGCACTCTACCCAGGGGGACAGCTTGAGGTTCTGTCTCAAAAAAAAAAAAAACAATGCAGGGCCATTAGCCAGGTGTGGCTCATGCCTGTAATCCCAGTACTCCAGGAGGACAAGGTGACTAGATTGCTTGAGCTCAGGAGTTCCAGACCAGCCTGAGCAAGAACAAGACCCCATCTCTACTAAAAATAGAAAAAGTAGACAGGTGTTGGTGGCAGGAGCCTGTAGACCCAGCTACTTGGGAGGCTGAAGCAGGAGGACTACTTGAACCCAAGAGTTTGAGATTGCTGTGAGCTATGATGCCACACCACTCTACTGAGGGTGAGAAAGTAAGACTCATTCAAAAAAAAAAAAAAAAAGCAGGGCCATACAGGCACATTTGTGCTTTAGAAAGATTTCCCTGATAATCCCAGCTGACAGCAAACAGGCAAGAGGCCAGAGAGGCTGGAAGGGGCATGGGCAGTGGCAGGGGACATGAAGACTGGATTATCAGCTCCTGAGAGCGGAAGCTTCACTCATATGTGTCCTCAGTACCTACACAGAGTTGGCTTTCAGTGCAAATCAGTGATCTCACTCTCCCCCACCTTGACCTGCTGTTTTTATGGCTGGTCCAGGTGGGCTTACAACTTTCATTTGACCACTTGACAAACCTGGAAGTCCCCCACCTGTGCTTTATAAGGCAGGTGGCTGGGCCCTGTGCCCACAGCTGTCATACTGCCTATTCATTGGTGGCTGAGCTGAGAAATGCCATACTAAACCCCCTCTGTCAGGTGTGTCCATCAGGGTTCCTGCCTACTGAGAGATTGTCTCTTCACCTAAGGGTGTTCAAGTGGCTTTTTAAAAAATAAGTATGTGGGCCAGGCATGGTGGTTCATGCCTGTAATCCTGGCGCTCTGGGAGGCCAAGGTGAGTGGATCACTTGAGCTCAGGAGTTCCAGATCAGCCTGTGCAAGAGCAAGACCCCATCTCTAAAAATAGAAAAACTGGCTCAACACCCATACCTCACTAGTTAGGGTGCCAGCCACATACACTGTGGCTGGAGGGTTTGAACCTAGACTGAGCCTGGCTAAACAACAATGACACCTACAACAAAAAAATAGCCAGGCATTGTGGCAGGCACCCATAGTCCCAGCTACTTGGGAGACTAAGGCAAGAGAATAGCTTAAATCCAAGAGTTTGAGGTTGTTGTAAACTGTGACACCACGGCACTCTACCAAGGGTGACATAGTGAGACTGTCTCCAAAAAATTAAATAAATAAAATAAAAATAGAAAAACTAGCCAGTACTCAGCTGTTGTGGCAGGTGCCTGTAGTCTAGCTGCTTGGGAGGCTGAGCCCAAGAGTTTAAGGTTGCTGTAAGCTAAGATCATACCACAGCACTCTAGCCTAGGTAACAGAGTGAGACCCTGTCTCAAAAAAAAAAGATATATATATATGTGGTTTATGGTTGAACATAAGAAAGCATATACAGTGAGAAAATAAGGCTTCTTCCCTACCCATCCCACAGCACTCCCCCCCCACTCCTTTCCTAGGAGGCAATAGTTGCAACTTACGGACCTCCACAAATAGTATTCTCTAGATGTGTAAATGCAGGTGTGTGCGTTCACCTGTGGCAGGGAATCACATGCATCATTATATGCCTTGCTGTTTTCACATCTCAGTGTCAGGTACTCCATATCAGTTTCGTAAGTGTAGAATTGGTCACAGTGTATGAATGGGCCACTGTTTATTTCTTTGTCCCCATAATTTGACCCTTAGGTTGTTTCTCACCTTTTGCCATTACAAATATCACTGCAACAAACGTCCTTTCTCCCATCTGTATATATCTGCAATAGAGATAAACTGCTCCATTTTCCACAGGGTTTTTTTTTTTTTTTTT